CAGTGTAGCCGTCGAACCTACTTTTGTTACATTCCTTTAACACTCGTAAACATACTCCCATGGCCTTTCGTGCCATTCTTTCAAATTTCTTTGAACAACAGTGAACTCAAAACCACACACAATACCTTTCGGGATTGTCGCGCGCACTTTTTTCCGACAACCTTTCTCGAAATAGCTGTATACACAGTTATACGCACCTTATAACTTCATCTGCGCTTAACGAGTATAGTCCATAACTTTCAAAACAACTGCTCCACAGAATGTCACTGATAACACGTAACGCAAAAGAGTATCAAAGTGAATGCACAATAAATGTCACAAAATCTACCTAAGCGGTCTCTTCGGGATTTTCTGTCCTTACGTCATCCTAACCATTTCGTACTTGCGGGCGCAAACAATAGAAACGTCATCATTACCTACCATACTGACTGGCATACCGACTATATATTTTAACTGTAAGTACTTTCCTTAATATACGCGCGAGTTACTAGTTAAGAGTGCCTCCTCGGGATTTCGCCTTCTGGGCGAAATCGCAACAGGGGCAATTACTTGTCAAATTTCGTATTCACGTAATAGACCATTCCTCGGTCCACAGTTTGGAAAGTTGCCAAATGTTAGGGGTCATACGTCCCAAGAGAGCAAAGATATTGCCTCAGAAAGCCGCGAAATTTTACAGACGTTTGTATGTAAGGAGGCTTAAACTTGCCTTTCTCCCTCACCATACAACCGTCTGTAAATTACTTTCCAACTTGACAACTTTATTGATTTTAGGGTGTTCATTCCAGTCGTGTTGACGGATTTTCGCAAACTGGTCTCAGACCGAAGAAGAGTTGAAAGAGCCTTGAAAGGGTCTGTTATGCTAGAAAGAATGTTTTATATATCTTCTCACAGTTTTAGTCATTCTATGATAGCTTTAGTTAAGGTTAGCACTTCTAATAACAGACATATCATGGTTTTCATGATCATGCTAAATGACTATTTATAATTTCTCTTACCAGATCCGTATTGCGATGATTTCCAGACTATCATTCCATCTCCTTCGGTGGGTAATCAATCTCCAGTATTACCTATCAACTTTTGCAGTTGCCAATCAACTAGCCAATTATCACTTACCAGCAGCAGCAGTATCGGTGATAGTACTGGAAGCACTAGGAGTTTACTAAGCCCATCAAGTACGGTGCTTGCACCGTCATCCTCTGCCTCTCTAACTTGCTCAGGTATGTTCAGCTTTCATTTCAGTCGAGTTCACCTAAGTGCAAAGCTAACAGAACAGGTGTATTGAAACAACTGACAAACAAAGAAAAAGAAGAAGAATGACTGAGTAGTAGCGTAGCATATATTGCCTATAGTGTATTTCTCTAAAAGTAATCGGTGGGGGACAAAGAAAAGTATTATCAACAATGTAGTGTTTACTTACCATCTTAATATACATTATTATTCACACGCATAATTCACCATAACCACTTACTGATGACCAAATTTGGAAGAATTTTGTGTTTAACGATGAAATGACGTCAAAAATGCAGCCTTCTACATGTTAATGCACCGTTAACCTAGAAGACCTGGGGACGAGGTTGAGTTGTTTTCGTTGTGAAAACTAAAATGGCGGACACTTCACTCGTTTCAATAGTAAGAACTACAGCTGGAACTAGGCGAAATAATGGCTAAAAACATAGCAAAAACAGCAAGAAGACAACTCGGGGGGCGACATCCGCTATTTGGAGAATATTTGCGGAGCTGGACAAACCTAAACGTGCACTATCGAAGATAAACTTAACATCGATGCAGGTAAGCATGTTTTAGCTAAGTTTTTAAACTAGGAATTATTTTTAATGAATAATAAAGCAATTAATGAATTCGGCTTTCCTAGAATATGAAGAATTAAGCAGATCTCGGAGGGTGTTATCCACCCGGCCTCTGTGGATAACACCCTCCTCGATCTGCTTAATTCTTCGTATAAAACGAAAGCCGAATTCATTAATTGCTAAATATGCGTACTATATTTTTGCTACAACCAGGCATATACTATAATTATAAGGTATAAATGCAATAAATCTAAATAACAGTCACTCTTATGCAGTGTTGTAAGGAAGCTTAAGCAACGAGGCGACGACGAAGACGAAGGCAACGACAACGTCAAAAAAAAAATAGTATAGTTTCCTGGGCAAACCAACAGCTCTGCACGTGTATCACCCTTTTTAAGTACATTTCTCTGACGTCCACTATGCGACTACGAAGTGAAACCTATTATATAATACGATGACAAATTTTCTTTTCTTTTTTCGAACCTGGATAAAGTCCTCAAGAATTCATCCTCAGTAGAAATCCCCTCTATTTGACAAATTGATAGGTCCAACTAGACGCGATAAAGTTTTCAAGGATGCAAACTTTTTTTTTTTTAATCCACGTTTTCACTGCCATTGTCGTCGTAGTTGCGTAAGCTCTCTAATATCCCTTGTTGAGACTTTACACTCCAGACCCAATGATCCTGAACTCGTACTTTTTTTGTTTACCAGATCCGCATTGCAGCGATGTCATTCCGTCCGCTTCGGTATGTAATCAGTCTCCAGTTTTAACAGTGAACACTTGCAGCTGTCCATCAATGAGCCAATTATTATCTACAAGCAGAAGCAGTAGTGTGGACGGCGGTAGCAGAACTAGTAGTTTTCTTAGCCCTTCAAGCGCGGTCTTTCCTATTCCATCGTCATCCTTTTTGACTTGCTCAGGTACGGTAAGCATTTATGTCATTCATGTCTACATTAATTTCGAACGGTGGTCAAATTCTGATGTGGTCACTAAAGGCAAAACCATAATTTTCCCTGGAACATGCTACAAAACCAACAAAATTAAAAAATCAGTGCAGGAATAACTAAGGAAGTAACATAGTAAATTCCTTGGGGTATTTCTCTTGAAGAGTTTGTATGAGCTTCAATGTAGTTAATAAGGCAGTGACTAAATAATTAATATTATTGGATCCAATCCCTTTTTTGGCTTTTTTTGGTTTAAAGTGGCCAGCTTAAGTATTCAGTCACGACCCCCTTTTTCTAAACCATAAATAGGGGGAACAACCCTACATCACCTGTCTCAAGAATTAGGTAGATGTTATGTTGATGCTAAATGCTATAATTAGGGTGGTCGATGAAACAAGCCATAGCCAAAACATGAGCAAAACCACGCTAAATAGAACACAGCCGTGTTGGATCTATTAATCGACTAACGGCCTCAAAAATTAAATGTGAAAGAAATTAGTACAGAACCGCCAAAGGATAAGGTGCTGATCAGGTAGGACCTAAAACAGGTCCTGGGCGCTTTCCATTCAGCCCAAAATTCCGGAAATTTACGGGTTAGAAATCAAATGGAACGGACCATTTCGGTCGGTTAGACCGAAATGTCCCTTTCCATTTGACAACATCTTTGTCCCCAGAATTCACAAGAACAATAACCAAACGATCGATGGCTTGGGTCGGAATGTACCTTTCTATTGAGTATGTGGAATTTCCTAAATTTTAAACTGCAATTTTTGTTGATTGGAAAGCGCCCACCTAGTTACTGTGCCATTTCTTATTTAATTACCCGAACGTTCGCAAGCGCGCCACGTCACGTGACAATTATAAGTTTTCGATTCGTCGGGTTACCACACTTTGTAGGAGCCAAAAAATTATTTCTCTTCAGTCTATTAAGTTTATATGCGGATTACGTAATGAAACAAGCTACAATATGCTGTTAGTACGAACATTAACCAACAAGGACTGCAAAGGACCGCAAACGAATTATGCCGAAGAATAACGTAGGATCTATGATGACCTGATCAGCGAAAATAACAAATAGACATATAAAATTCCGCGAACAGAATACCAACAATACTGTTCATCATTAAAACCTCTTCGTCTAAATGCCAATTTCATCCTGCCAGCTTCCTCCTTTCTATACATAAGTAAGGAAAAACACTCGTCGCAAGCTCAAGTTATGACTCTTACGTGAGCGGTTTTCTATCTACATAGAATCAATCCCAAGTTCTGCCTTACCAGTGATTAAAGGAATACCAGGTAAGGAGCTGTATTAACGTCCTGACTGTGTATTTTTTTTTGTTTCGAATCTGAAGTGGAAGGATTATTGATAAGAAAGTTAATCGCAGGGGTACATTATTTGAAGCTTTCTCGCTCCTTAAAATGATATATTTTAACTATTCAATAACTTTTCCAGCGAGAAACCCTTGTGAAAGGCTTCCCAAAAGAGAAAGCTAACGGATTTAAACCTCTTAAATAAGAGCGTTCTAGAATTTATACCTGAACATATTACATGTAGCCCAAACGTAATATAAGATTTTGGATTGGAAATATAACTTACAATAAATAAATGAACTAAAACGGGTAAAAGCATGCGTTGGAGGCGCAAGTGTAATAATGGACCCAAGCGTAAATAAAAAAATAATAATAATAAAAGACCCATCCAGCTACTACACTTACGCCTTCTACACCAGTTAATAAAGCATAAATATCGTTACCTGGGGTAGTTGTTTGCCTGGTCGAAGTATCAAACGATTTGAGAAGTATAACATCATCTCTGACCTGACAGATAATAGAAGACTCTGATATTACCTGAACTTAATTTGCTGCAACTTCGTAGAAAGACGGACAACGAACCCAAGTAACAATGGTGAAATATTACAATGTTACTCTGTAAGATACATTGCTGACGTCACTGTGGTTGAACACATTTTTGCTCATTAGCATAGTCGAGTTAATCCAGAACAGTATTTCTGGGTGGCAAAAAAATATCAAGCCATGTATACTTTACAAAATTTTAATCTTTAGAAAAGAAAATTTCTCAGAAACTATTAGGTATACTTACTGATTCGGTGATACCTTATTTTCTTTGCCCTTTCAATATTCAGAGACGGATTTTTGATTAGCTTGATTAGAGCAACGGCTTTAATTTTTTCGAAGAGCGTGTGGATTTGATTGCACTTCTCACTTCGTTTTCAATCCTGTTTTTAAGCCCTGAGGGACTGCAAAGAAGTTCTTGGCGCTGGCTACAAGGTTACCGGAAGCTATCGCCTGAATCCCACACCTGAACAGGAAGCGGTAAATGACGAAATGGGTCCGTTTCGCGCATATTGCGATCAAAAGACCGCTGACGGGGGCTGGACAGTCGTGATGCGCCGTCTCGACGGTTTCGTGAACTTTCATCGAAGATGGAATTCCTATGCTAACGGTTTTGGAAGTATATCTGGGGAGTTTTGGTTTGGATTGATTAAGATGAGACAACTTTGCTATGACGTTCCGCTTAACATCAGATTCGATTTTGAGGCAGAGAACGGTGCCAAGCCGTACGCGGAATACAGCCATTGTCAAATAGATACCTGGGGTACGAGCTACACCTTGAGAGTTGGAAAATTCATTGGTAAGACAAAACTGATGTTTTTAAACTCATGTCTTAGAATTCCTCATTTTGTAACTGAATGCCTGAATGACAAATATGATTCATTCATTCAAGAATAAGGCAAATGTGTCTATTCTTAAAAGCTCTTTCTGCTTAAGGCTTTTTTTCTTGCTTTCGCTTCTCAGTATAGGAAACATGCATGCATACATCAAACTGACTACCACACTATTGACAACTATCACAGGAATGAATCCGAGCTAACTGCGAGAATAAATGGTATTTCCTCTTGAGCTGGAGAAAAACGTTCGTTTCAATTGTTATAAGAGGATTAGCAAATGTTTCAGCGCTTGTTCAACAAATGCTGAAAAGTGTCACAATCTTTTTTTCTTCTCAAGAGAGTGGAGATGGGCCCTCCGTTCGAATTCAGCATTTAAAAATGATGACTCAGTTGTTTTCTAGTCAGTCACTACAACGCTTTTCTTTTTTTGAGCAGCAAACTGTGGAATGAAGTTATGAATATGAAAATCATATAATTATGTGAACCTCGGGGTGAGGAATTATGAAAGTAGATCATCACACTTATAGACGCAACTTTTGCAGTTGCAACTGCAAATTGCGTCTATAACTGAGATGATCTACTTTCATATAAAACTGTTGAATGATACCTACTGCGTTATCTTTGTAGTACAAATTATCGAAAAGTATGGCAAACACTCGAGCTCCTCGAGAAATTTTAAGGAAACTTGACCGCGTAGAGTAGGGTTTAAAAATTCATTCCGGCCTTTCGTTTAAACTACCCTCGCCAGACGCAGTCTAGAAGACGTCAAATAGTGATACATTATATATGCTTCTCATGTCGAAAATGCATCATGCCACTTTTTTCCTTCCGATGTATCTTTTTATCCGACTTTGTGCCTTTTTTAACAGGAGGAGGAGCTGGGGATTCATTGTCTTCTCTAAATAATACAAAGTTTGCGACCCGTGACAGGAGTAACATTAACACGGTGGGTGACAACTGTCCCTTGCAGCTACAAGGTGGCTGGTGGGTTTCGAGCTGCGATCAGGATGCGTTTTTGACAGGGCGTGACGAGAAAGGCAATCTCACTATCCGGTGGCGTACATGGAGAGGTGCAAGTCTGACTAAAGTTGAAATGAAAGTGAAGCCTACAACATGACGATCATCAAATGCTTTTTGTCTGTAATAACTTAATTTAATATGCTAACTGTCGTATTCAGCAATTTTAATCCGTCCTACTGCTTTTATGTGTTGAGATGGAAAAAAACTTTGTCATACATTAATGTAGTTTTGGACTATAACGGTTATGACTGGGGAGCGGATAATTTTAGGAGCGAATCCTTTGGGTACTCCTGTTATGTCCTTGGTGCAAACCAATTTTTTTGACGACTTAAAGCCACGATTTTAGACGTTCATGTTTGGGATTTGACACATTAAGATCATAAACGGCCGTTCCGGTTGAATTAGAATCTTTGGTGTCCTCGTTTTTTCCAGCCGGAATTATGGCCGGCGCGCTTCCCGCTTGGGGCACAAATTCCTGTAGTAAAAAAAAAAAACAATAGTTTAAATATCTAGCAAATAAACAGTTACCAGTCATACTATTAGTATATCTAACAGTAAGGCTAGGCGAATCTACCTTTTCTAAAAAATACGTAAAAAAAAGGAGTAAAAATTGCACGTTACTGCGCCATTATACTTTGCACTGTCTTTCAGTCGCACAGGACTCTAGTTGAAAACAGCGGAAAATTTTCTGGACCCATTTTGCATAGGACAAAACGCAAAATATTTTGAACATGTACAAGACCTGTTCATCTCCACACTATCTTTCTCGTCTCGTTTTGAATAATTTCAATACATGTGAACTGACTTGATAAACTTATCTGACACTTAACTGACTCAGCGCACCCGCCTCCGCTAACACGATATCGTTTTCGTTTAATTCTGAATTAAAACATCTCTTTCGGCCATACTCACCATAAAACCTCTCGCCTATGCTTAAAACAGGTTTTACTCCCGTCATCTGGGGTTGGCATGGTTTATTGATTTAAATTCTTAGTGGTTATTTAAGTGCAAAGAGTGCAAGTAATACCAGCTACATGTAACTTAATTGTTGGAACCGCGAAAACGTGAATTACCACTACAAAAGAGGGCATCTGCATTTTTTCTTTCTTCCTTTTTTTCCCCTAACTTTGGAGCTTTCACTTTGTGTTAATCTTTAGTATGCTAAATAGAATACGCAGAAGCCTAAAAGCCAAGCTGTAAATGGAATGGCAAGTTCAGTATGTTAGGGGTGACTAGAAGTAAGAATGTTGTCTGGTAGATTAGCCCAAAAGTTAATAACTATCCTTCTACGTACGCTACATAGATACCTCACTAAAGGTTTCAGATCCTAATAAATTAATATTATTAAAAACCATAAAGACCCAGTGTTCCAGGCTAATCGAGGACATAATTGCCCCGATTCTTCTTCCTTTTTAGGGCCTTATTTGTGTCGGTAGTGTTGGGCGGGGTTAATTTTTCATTCATCCACTTACTTCTATTTTAACCGAGAAATTGTCTTCAAAATTACGTTCTCTTTTTGAATTAGTACTCGATAATCAATAAGCGAAAGAGGTCTATAGCTAAAAAGTCGTATTTCTTCTCAAACGTGGGATTGTGATGTTTTAGGGTGTAAAAAAAAAACCTTGCAGTACACCACTTACCTCTGGAGCGCAAACCTGACGGCAAGGCACAAGTCACCTGACTTCTCGACGTTCGCGGTCCGCGGGAAATGAAGAAAAACCTCAATCTTAAGGTTTTTCTTGAGTCGGGGTAATTATGAACCTTAAGGTTCCACTGTACAGCTTTGGATTTGACAGTAGCGGTTAAAGGGGCTATGCCACACTATTTGTTTTGTTTTTGTTTTTGTTTTTGAGAGGCGGGAGGGGGGTAAACTTGTTTTCGCATCAATACAATTCCAAAACTAAAATGATCCAGTTTTGTCGAACTTTTCTTGAGACGAACTAAACTCTAATTTGCGTCGACCTAAAATCGGTTAAGATCGTCTGTTGAGTCAGACGTCGACCTTAGGACACGTTGAACCATTCAACTGAATCAGACCAAAATGTACTATGAAGATCGACGTTTGCCCCGAAGACGATCTTCAGGCGTTCTATCCGTCTGAGGCAGATGGATAGAACGTGTTGGACGATCCAAACTCATTCAGAGGAACCAGACGTCGAACTTTTCATGAACTTAACTCATTAAGGTTGGTTCATCTCATGAAAAGTTCGACGTTCGGCCTAAGCCTTAGGATTGATTTCCACTGTCGCCTAACTTTTACGCGCGTACGTGCGTAAAATTTACGTTCTCAAATAAAATAGAGGCAATGTATGAAAGGTTGCACGTAAGCGTAAAAGTAGAACGTCGCTCAGCTTCGCGTTTAATGTCAACACCCCATAACTTACCTCTGTTTTATTTACGTGATTAAAATTTACGTGCCTTGACGTGCGTAACCAAAAACGCGCCAGTGGAAATCAACCTTTAGTGAGTTTTTTTAAGGCCTAGGCCATTAACGTCGACCTATTCATGTGAGACTACCAGTATTGTCACTTAGGTCCTTAAGTTGGTGTGCGTTCAAAAACCTTTGATATTTCCTGTGCGTTGTTTTTGTTTTTAGTCAGTCATGAAACATATAACGTTAGTTCTTCAGGTCCGATTTTGAACTCAAAATTCCCGTACACTCGTTTATTAGCCCCAATGCCGCGAATTCCAGAAAACTAAACAACTATATATAGGGTGCGTTCGATGATTAGGAAATCTGGATTTAGATTTTAATATCCTGATTTCAGATTTTGCAATCCAACGAAAAATCCGAAAACTGGTTTCAAAGCTGAGATATCTCCTCTTAGATTTGCTTTCTTTCCGTTTTTTTTTTTTTTTTTTTCGGAAATCCGAAAAAGGATTTGAAAAACTATTCTTAAGAACAGCGGTCTTGCACGTGCACGTATAATTCGCAAGAAGAAGACCACTGTTCAAGAGAGTAGTTTTGCAAATCCTTTTTCGGGTTTCCCAATCGAACGGTAAAAAGGAAATCCATGAAATCCGGATTCGGATGTCTTTTAAAATCCAAATCCCGATTTCCTAATCGAAAGCAAACATCCAAAAAAAACATCCAAACAAGGGTGTCGGCAAAAATCATGAAAATTGGTCCATAAGCAGCAATCAATTAACCTAATAAGTTTACTTTAAAAGTTACTTGAGTCTCTTGAGCTATTAATCGATACAACAGGAAAGTCAATTTACACGAGTCACGGAAGGCAGTTAAAGTATTAGGATTTCACTTAAATTGCACCAGCGATGTTACGAGATTAGTCGCAAGATTACAAAAAGTAAATTTGCTACTTTTGTGTTCCTTACTTCGCTAAGCGGTTCTCTGTACGTTTACGCCAGTTCATTACATCAAGTTATATTATTACTTCTTTTCCGGCTGAACAAAAAATGTCATGTAATATATTATAATAGTACTGACCAGAAAATGGTATAGACCTATCCATTCATAACTCATTTTATGTATCTTGAATACTCATTCTATACACCACCTCCAAGTGGGCATTTCTAATTCACAGCAAAAACCTGCGACTATAGGAACCTGTTAGGCTAAAATTTGCTATTTATCCCCCCTCTGTACAAGAACCTGTTTAGCCTAAAATTTGAAGGTTCATATTTTCTAAAATCTACAAAAAATAATTCTGTACACTTGGGCATATACGGTATACGGTAAGTGAAAATTCAGGATCCTCTTTGGAGACACAAGTGCCTTATTACTTCAACTGCAATTATAATGATAAAAAGGTTTTGCCTAAGGAATGAGTTGAATGTATTTTTATCGTCAGAAAATTAGTGGTAGTGACCATTTATTTAAATATAAGAACCTGTTTAGGCTAACTTGGGAGAATGCAGGTTCTTGGTCGCAGAAATACAACAGGGCCCGCACAGGGGGAGGAGCAGGGCCTCCCACTTTTTGAAAATATCTAAATAAATAAAATTAAGTTATATACATTCTCATATCAAAAGTATCTTTGCTGGCATACGGATATTCTGCTTGCGGACCTCGCAACAGCATCTAAATTTATTATTGATCCGTTTCCATCCTATGTTTGATACGTAGTAAGCCTCAAAACGCTTATCTTTACAACACTGGCATTTGTCGTAGACTTATGCGTTTTCAAACCAGCCTGGCTATGTAGCATATGCCACGATGCGGAATGGAGTCTTTTTTGACCAGGGTTCTCGGTTAAATATGAAGACTACTCCACAGACAAAATTGCCTTGCCGATATAGCAAATAAATTTGCTGTACCTAACTCTAATTAGAAAAGAAATTTGCAACCGCACTTTAAAAACTGCTCCGCGGGCCTGCTGGCTAAAACAAATCTACATTTTTGGCTAAATGGTAAGTACGTGTACAAAAATCAAACAATGTTGTGGTAAGATTTTGTTCAATCCTTTTATTTCCTTCCGCAAAGCAGCGAGGCAAACAAGTGATACAAATACCAAAAAACACCGAAATTCAGCTCTGTGTCGTCCTCCTCAGTAGAAGACAAATGATGGAATAAAACTTGACTTTGTTACATCTTTGTTAAATCTTTGTTACATGCTTTTTTTAAGCGAAATCAAACAACACTTGTTATTTTATTTCCTTCCTGCGGCCCAAGAAAGACAAATCACTTTTGTTGTAATAAGATTATTTACGTTGGGGTTATATATTCATGTTATCGTTTTAATAGAATAAATACTATAGGGCAAATTAAGTGTGTTAAACTGCACCTGTAAATTAATGCTCGTCACTAGATTAGCCTATAAATACTTTGATCTCGTCGGTCGACGTCAGTTAAGGATTCAGAGCAAAGACAAATCTAATTAAAAAAATTGTTAAGACCCCGTTTCTAATCGAGGGAAAGATTGTTGCAATTCTTGTCCCTCTGTTAGCGCATTATTTCTGTGTCGGTAGGGTTTGTCGTTAAATAATAAGTCTTCATTTTCCCCACTCTCATCAACTTCCCATTCCTACATGAACATAAAGTCTATCCGATGTTATCTTCAGCTATACCTACGCCATCATAATCTTGAACCTGAGATTTCTACCTCCACTGAAGACTTGTTCACTCCTCCGACGGCAGGCCGGTGTCGTATCTTTAATTGTAATTAATTAGTGTATGTAAAGTATATAAAGTAAACCATGAGACACTGATGATTTAGATTTATTGGCGTTGAAAATTTCTGTACACCGTGGATTCGCTTATATTAACTACCAATGTCAGTGAAATCCAGAAAACAAAACAATTGAAACGTATGAACATCCCTACCTCATATCAGCGAAATTAAGGAAACTAAAGAATTGAGACAAGGAGCGATAAATTAGCCTAAAGGTGGTCACTTAAGAGCACCATTAGCCTTTTCCTTAAGATGACAGTCATCTATGATACAAGTCACGAAAAGCAGATAATTTCGCGTAAATTGCTCGTACTAATACTATCTTTCGGTGCACATTTTAATGGTTGCGTTTAGGTCCCAATGACGTTTTAGTTAGGGCGTGGCTATATGGACTTTAAGCAAAACGCCAATGCAACTAGATGGACTCTCTTTCCAAAGTATCACTCAGGATACGTGAGCTTTAACTCAAATCCGATTATTTCTGCTGGCAACAGTCTCTTTACTAAAGAGAACGCATAACCAGCTTAGTGTTATGGTTAGTACGTTGGACCTCACCCCTTAATCCTGTTTTGATTTCACCACAAACCCCTTCAATTGAAAATAAAACCAAAACGACCAATTTCTTTGGCATGTCCCTACATAGAGCTGTAACAAGAAAAATGGGTATAAATAGGCCAACACAAGGTTTCTCCCCACTTTGTCCTCAACCAGCTGCAGGGAGGAGACTGAAGGCTACTCTGGAGAAACACCTTGTTAGGAAACACAAGGTACTATCTTCTGTGTTTATTTTTCCAACTCTATTTGATATTTTGTGGTATTCCTACACAGGCAATCGCAGGAGGAAAGACCGTAAGCATATTATTACCTACGAATAATGATATCATAGAAAGATCTTAATTTTGATAACAGTGGCTACTCGTATTCATTTGTTTTTCGCAATTCTACATTCTCACTGACCATATTCGAGGTCGATCGTTGTCTGTGTCGCGGTATTGTACAGGCGTACCAACTTGGTAAGAACTCCAACAAAGACAAAAGCTGTCATTTACCCGCAATTTCTTTCAAAAAACTACTCCAATTTAGCACAACAGAATAGTGTTTCATTTTTTTCTTCAAGCAGTTTCGTGAGACAACTGCAAAAAAAACTGCTGACGTGTTATTTTTCCGTGCTGAATACGTCATTAATGTTTCTATTTTAATTGTTTTCTCCTTTTCTTTCGTTTTTGTTTTTCCGTTTACATGAAAGGTAAATTCGTGCCAGACATCTCAACCTTGCTTACAAGGACCAGCTGGTACCCTGGCACACCAGGAACTCCGGGTACACCTGGAACGCCGGGAATACCAGGATCCAGTGGTGCTGTGGGACCACCAGGATGTCCCGGTCGCGACGGAAAGGATGGAAAACGAGGAAAGCCAGCGTTGCCCCGGAGATGGAAGCAATGCACCTGGACATTTGACCAATCAAAAGATAGTCGGGACAATGGACAAGTGCATGTAAGGTTTACAGAATTTTCATCACACTGATACTATATCATAAAAGGGATCTTAGACTCATCTTTCATTCCCAGGTGATGGTTGGCAAGTGATATCACTACTTTCATGTTGGTTGATAAGAACTAATTAAAAGCGATTCCTTAAGCTGGGAACTCATTAAAGCTTTTTTTTCATGCAAATCTGTTAGAGCAAATTAAGCTTCGAATTTCCTGTTCTCGTAAGAATTCTCTATTGTTTGTAAGCTAACCAGACGATGCGACAGCTTTACGTGCATGCTGGGAATTGATCGACTCTAAATAGAAAAGCCCTGTTTACCAAACTGGTGGCAATGTTACCTTCTTTCATGTTAATGTTTATAAGCCCTCTTACCTCATCTGCATCTGCAGAATGCACTTTTACTTGAAACGAGAAATAGACAGCTAGTTATCACATGAAGACAACATGCCTACTAAATTTGCTATTATTTCATGAAATAAGGTGTAAAGCAATGCAATATATATATAAATATAGCTCCAATAACAGCAGAAATTTAATTCCTCAGTTACTTTTTGCAAAAAATCGCCGCGGAAAGTAGAACGAAATCTAGATGAAAATCACCTTCAACTTTCGTTAAACAAAGCACAATTTTGAAGAAATTTCGAGTTACCGGAAATTTGGCCGAAGCGAAATTCGCTGATGAAGGGCAGACAACCTGTGCCACAATGTATGATCTCATCAGGAATTGCACGAACGACGAGCAAATTTACGAACAAAAATAGTAGTCGCCTAACGCCAGTAGAATTAACTAAATACTGTGTTCATTAATATCGTTCAAATTGTAGGTGTGCGAGTTTGAAAAGAAGGAAAATAATACCTACCTACACGTAGTTTACGTGGGGAATCTTCGCATTCAGGGCTGCAGCAAATGTTGCAAGAGATGGTTCTTCACGTTCAGCAGTAACGAATGTACCAATCCAGCCGCCATTGATGGAGTCGTGTACCAAGGCAGCAACATTAACATCCATAGATCCGCCAACATCGAGGGCTTTTGTGGTGGATTGAATTCAGGAAGAGTCTTAGTTGGTTTCAGCGTCGGAAACTGCTATCAATATGGAAACGCAGACGCCTTCACCAGCTGGAATTCAGTTAGCAGGATCATCATTGAAGAAGTGGAACCAGCTATTGCATGAGCTGAAACGACTGAACACAAATACAAACAGCATTAAAACAAAACAAAACAAAAAAACATGTGTGCTACTCATTTTTTTTTTTTAACATAAATTACATTTTCGCGATAATTAGGGGTGGGAGATGAGTCGTCTAAGAGAACAGAATGAACAATCTCAAGGTCCTCATTACCTCTTTACTTTATTGAATGTCTACCGGCAATTCTTTCTTTTGATTTTCTGATGTAGTCGCCGAGCAAGGAGCTCTCACTTGAGCATTTGCGTTTTTGAAGCTTTCCCATTACCTTTGCGCAGCGACTACCTTCGAAAATTCCAAGAATCGCCTGGGTATGACCACTGTACTTAATTAAATGTGTTGTTACGAAATAATAATAAATCTACCTTGCTACAAGACTTGGTTACTAATGATGGCATTGACCGTCAAAAATGGCATCGTTAAGCATCTGCGTCAAGTATTTCAAATCATACGTCCGGTGATCCAGATTTCGGACATTCTAGTCTTATCGACTCAGGGGCGGATCCAGGATTTTTTTAGGAGAGGGTGCACTCGTCTCTTGCTCTACTTCAACACCAATAAACCAAAGTTTTTTTTTTTTTTTTTTTTTTTTTGCAGAATACCAGTTGTATTAGAAAACCGCAGCTTATCTCAGGAGGGGGGGGTGCGCACCCCCTGCATCCTCCACTTAGATCCGCCCCTGCGACTATCTCCACACCAGGCATAGTATTTCAAATTAATACTATTTTTTACTGGCATTATTAGTCTTGCTTGCCATACGAACTAGACAGTCACGTTTACGAGAGTCGATAGGAACAGATAAAATTGTCAATTCTTCTGCTAATTATTGTTAGTTCATCACTAGTCTTAATTTTTATAACTTGTAATATTATCACAGGGCATCTCTCAAAACCAGCTTGCTGAGCCATTCACCGTGTTTAAATAAAGTTGATTGATTGATTGTACGATCATCATTGATGTAATAACGAGCTTAAACAGGCGTACAATGGACAGACTAATTAAACTGAAATAAAATTAATGTAGAATTGGCCACGACTGCCACCAATATTTGACGATCATTCTTCAGTCATGCTGGTTTAGGGTTGAAGACGAATCTAGCCACTATCAACGTATATCTAGTATGAAGTTTTCAAACAGCTTACCGTGCGCTAATTAATTTATCATTAATAGAATAAGCCCGACAGATTCTAAAGGGAATTTGAACACTTTTGACTCAACACGGCGATATGGAAGGAAAGGATACAGTTGGTATCTCTACCAAAACCAAGCAATTAAGAGGCAGTCTCCCTAAAAGCGTTCCACTCGATTTTGGACTGGAAAAAACTTTTGCCTTATATTTTTATCATCAACACTACTATCCATCCTAATAACAAAACTGCAGTTAGAATGAGGAAATTGTTTATTTTACTGCCATTCCCAGCATTTCATTGCTGGACGACCGTTAGAGGCTAAAATATGCAAATTTTAGATGCCGTTTTACAGGTTTTTTAACGATCGTTTAAAAGTACTTCGGGTCATCAAATCCTAGACTGTTCGCACTCATTTGGAAGCGTATTACTTCTTCTTACTGTTCCAATACCGTTTAGGCATTATCTTTCTGTAATCAGCAAAAACTGGTCGTCTTTATTTCACTAAGCCAATTAAGGAAGCAAGATGCACGAATAAATGCCTCAGAAACATCTCAAAATTCTCAAAAGTGGCACCTAAACTAGACCTAAAAACACGTTTTAGTTAAAGATTAAGAGCTATTTTGTCAAGTTATGCAATAAAACTTGTGGCACAACGCGATTCAGAATTGAAGGATTCGACTAAAAATTGCATATTGATGCTGAATTCGCATTGCGTGACACCGGCCACTGTGATAGTAAAAAAATTCTTCATGATCCTACAAATGACAACTTTTCTGTTTTTTTTTTTTTTTACTTTATCAACAACAAAAATCGGAAATAGGTTAAGCTTAAAGACGATTAAGTTTTCCATTGACCTTCGTATTAATAGTCTCGGCCGGCCGTCCTTTGTTCGACTCCCAGTAGTTGGCTTTTTTATTAGTAGAGTGGGTCGGGAAAAATACGCATTTCTCCCTACCCCAGCCCCTTATGCCCCTTTGTTAAGCTTTGAACGACTAGGGGGTTTATATTTGACTATTTTTGGGAAATTTGCACCAGATCTTTGTTTACTCGCATGTTTTTTGTTTTTTGTTTTTTTTTTTTCATAAGATTTGTGAAGTATTTGCGGTCTTTATATTCTTTGTCATAGCATCTCGATGTGCAGACATATAAAAGCAATAAGATCCTCTCTGAGTGGCTCAACAACATTGTCCGCGGTAGGCTGGTGTATCAAATGAGCGCCGCACTGGAGTCGCAAAACGCGGTGGCGCCTAATTTAGTAAAATCGATATCAATATGAATTTGGATCCACACGGAGGGTCCAAAGGCCGATTTTTAAAAATGTGATCCTAGATCCTTCAGCTGTTGTTCAGATGTATGTATTTTTACATCACTAACGTGGTAGAATGCAAGCATCTGTAAGAACAGGGTAATAACCGCTAACAAGACGTGAGACGAGAAAAGACGTAAAAACAGTGTAGGGTTCTCGACCTGGAGAAATGTTCATGCTGAGGAAACCTTCGACAAAGCCTGATTCAGACTTCACGTCAGTTCTCAGCTCTACTGATTGTTCGAATTCAGAGGTTTTTGTCCACGTTGGGCTTCAACAGAAAATTCTGTCGTTGAATTCTCCCTGGTACCAAACAATTGTCATGAGTACTCTCAGTAATATGCCTAAAGGTAGGTAATCACGATTTTGGCAATTTAACTCCGACTCCAAATTAGGTTTAGATATGCGCTTATCACTTTCTGTTTCACCCGTGTATCTTGTGATATTCAAATCCGTCAGCTCATAAATGATATCAAATGTGCAAGTGCATCAGCTGACCGTGTAACTTTATGCCATAGTGCAACAGTGTTTAATATCAGGATATTTGACTTAAAGCCACTTCCTACTTTTCTCCATAACTTCATTATGTTTGGATCTTCACTTCCCGCATATTTCTAAACAAAAAAAATTGAGTGGACTACTGAGTTTATCATTGTCTGAACTTGAAATTAAGATTATGACAATACCCATTGGCCCTTTTGCCATTATCTTATCGCAGATAAAGGAACTAGAGATAAGGATATTACCAATGATTTTACGATTTCATACGTACGTGATACCATCCTTTAAAATAGATGGTATACGATCTTAGCAATCTCCAAACCAATTACATACCTGTCCTTGGTCCTAATATTCCTTTCTTGGTCCTCTATGCGAAGAACGAGGTGGCTGCCAAAATCGTCCGAGTTTACAGGGGCGGATCCAGGATTTTTTTTAGGACGGGCTACACTCGTCTCTTGCTCTACGTCAACACCAATAAACCACATAGTTTTTTTTGCAGAATACCAGTTGTATTAGAAAACCGCAGGGCATCTCACGGGGGGGGTGCGCACCCCCTGCACCCTCCCCCTAGATCCGCCCCTGGTTTATATGCTGATATTTGTGGGTAATCCCCGGGAGGACTACCATATAAAAGTGAAGGGGCTGCTCGTCGGAAAATCATGAATAATTTATTATTTAAACCCCTAAGGGAGGCCAATGTGGGTGTGGCTCAAGCTTAAACTAACCCCTAAAGGAGATTTCTGTGAGGTCAGCGTCACGGCTCTTTTTTTGTTGTTTGCAAATTTCTTTATGCACAGCCTTAAGCGATACCTGAATGAGCATATTTAGGTACTTTCCGTCCCAAACAACCGAAGTGAGACCAAAATCTGCAAACGACGAGCACCCACGTCACTTTTGTATGGGAGCTTCTGGGGAAGCAGATCACCCTCTGTTCCACTTGATTTTTCGTAAGGTCAATGATTACCATCTTTTGAGAGTATTGGCTCTGCTTCACTTAGTTCAGACTTCGATGGATGACAGGTTTCATGGTAAGAAGTAATGGTGTCCTGACAATCGTGTACTTTTATCAGTTGGGAAAAACCGCGTAAACTTCCACACTTTATTTTCTTGTTACTTTCACTGATGTTGCACGATTCGAAATTAATGTTGAAACTTTATTATTTGCGTGTGCCAACTTCTTTATTAACTGGCTGCGATACAAAAGTAGCCTTAGACTCCAGACTGTCTCTTTGAGAGTGAAAACAAAAGCTGACCACTGTTAATAGGAAGAAACAGTCAGTAAATGGAATAAACCTTGTAACTGAAATTTCATTAACAAAGTCTTCAAATGTGGGCTCCTGATCAGTGGAAGGTAAATAAAGGGAAAATAGTAATTCGCCGTTCACAGTCCAGTACTATCGCCCCATGTTAGCGAATACAAGACAGTCTTGGATTCTGGATCCCATTCCTTGGATGAACTTGGATTCTCGATTTCATTCCTTAGTAGGGTGCTTGAGCCCTATTCTGGATTCCAAAGCCCTGGATTCCGGATTCTGTATCAAAAATTTCCCGGATTCCGGATCCTACAAGCAAAAATTTTCCAGATTCCGGAATCCGGATACCCTTACGTGGGGCGAAGTACAAGTCAAACATTTTCTGACCTGTTCACGCATATTTAATTAAGCAGTGGGAAATTTACTTTTCTTCTAACGTTCGATTTTATAATATGATGGATCGGAGTAACTTCTGGTCAATGCAGCTTTTTCAGACTGGACCACATTTTAAGCTAGAGGAGGTTTGGTGCTGAAAAGGTATTTTTCCGTCTTGACATAACAGACTTAACACGAATGGTCGGGGCAGTGGGAATATTAAATGAAGCTTGGAAGGGATCTTTTACTTGCTGAACTAATTTTTGAACAATATATATCATTGGCAAAGGGAAAAAGGGAATTTTAATATAGTTTGGTGGGAAAATTAGGCATATCTTACTTAAAAATGGCAAGTATTTGAATAACTGAAATTGAACATTTGCCTAAATTCGAGTTGAAACCTTCAATTCTGAATCGCGTTG